CACAAGAGCTATCGTCGGAGAAAGTGTCACCAGGTAACATTCTGTCAGGCTTCTCCCCGCGGGTTGAACGGATCGGCTGAACTGCCGATCCCACCATCCCCTTTGCCTGTCAGAAGCCCTCACCCTGTTTTGAGCCTGTTATCACAGCCAAATGACTCAGGAGACACCCGATGAGACAGGGAGTCACAGTCTTTTCTTGCCAATCAGGCTGAGCCAACATCTGTGGTGGTGCCAGGTCTACCAACGTCTGTCGCCTCGTGTTGCAAAGCACAAGTCGACGGGTCCTGGGTCTTCCCAACAGAACACATGAAGCCCAGCTCAGCAATTTCCAAGGCAGAGGCCATTAGACCCTGGGGTCTCCCCGCTCAGCCTGTGAGTGGACAGACAGGGGTCTAGGAAGCTTGCCCAAGTCCCGCACAAGCTTGCTGTCGGCTTCCTAAACCTCCCTGAGGACAAGAACTCTGGGCTGCCAGTCAGGCCCCAGAGCACCAGGTGCCTTCCCTGGAGACTGGCTTGTCCCAGAGCTGGGCACAGGGCCCTGCAGCCTTCACGGGCACCCAGGTGATTCTTCGCAGCTGAAAAGCTTCAGAAATAATTACCAATAAGCCTGACTCAAGGTCAGGGTTCTAACCTTGGCGGGAAGTAAGCAAGTCGCCTGTGCCTCTTGCACAATGCAGCCCAGTTTCTGCACAGTTTAGTGCAAATTCAGAGTGAAAGTTCATATGTGGATTTGGCGTTTCAGGGCCTGTGTGCAAATCACTAAATACAGCAACAAAGAATCCTGAGAGGCAAGGATTTCCAGACCCTATTGTCTCATTCCCCAAATGGTTCGTGGCAGACAGAGGAGGGGAGCCTCCTGGCTCTTTCATGGGTGGAGGCTTCTAGGAGGTCAAAGCACTGGAAGAGGAGCAGATAAGAAAAGAGCCTAGTCTTCCCTTCCAAACGCCCACGCTGGATAGCTCCACAGTTTAACTGAAGACCACGTACGCCACCCACCCAAATTCCAATCTCCCGAGAGAGGAGACAGATTCAGGTGGAAGAATCAAGCCAACCTCTGAGGGGGGTTAAATGAGACATTTCCAGCCAAGCCAGTGGGAACACGGACCCACCTTTCCCCAGGAGCACTGCCCGCCATCTTGTGCTGCTAATTTCTAGCAGGAGCTGTCACAGACATTTCGTTTCTTTTCTTTAACTCCATCTGCTAAGAAAATTGCTTTGCAACCAATAAAAATCCAGAGACAAGCGGCCAAAAGCCCCAGGAGCCCAGGACAGCGGCCCTCTGTCTCCAGGTGCTTCCTCCCCATGCAGGGAGAGGAGCCCCTCCCGGTGCCCCACTCAGCCGCAGAGGAGATCGGGAGAGCGGGCCGTGCGGCCCTGGCCTGCTCTGATGCCCCTGTTTGGGAAATTTGCTTCGTGTTTGGGGCTACGCACATTCTTTGCAAAATAATTTTAAAAGCCTCGGGATACTTGGCATAAAAAGCCAAACGATTACTGTGTTTCCACAAAACACAAGCAGCTGCGGCAGAACCCGTAAAAGCGGCAGACGGGTGTTCTGCTCCTTGAGGACCCTTCACGTGGCCTGGCTTGCCGGGTCCTGGAGCTGCTCCAGCGACAGCCCAGCCCACCGCCCCTCCCGACAGGCACATTGGCGGGGGGGGGGGGGGGGGCGGGGATGGACTTCTCTGGACGCCAGGGCAGCAATGTCCAGAGAAGTTTGTCGAGGAAAATACACAAGAGCACCCAGGCTCCGACTACCGCTCTCTCCCTATGAATCCCCTGCACTGGCATTGCCCCCGGAGAGAGGAGGGGCTGGGGACACGGTGGCTGGGCTGCACACAAGTTCCGGCCATTTCTTTAAGGTGACTGGTCTGGGCACTGGCCCCATGAACACACTGCAGTGCACTGCCCTCGAGAGCGGGGGGCTTTGTCAACTGTCCTGAACGAATGGCTCCCTTTCCTAAAACAGACTGATCTTCTGGTAGTTTGAAAATCCTGCTACAATCCCGGGGCAACTTGGTGGTGCAGTCGGCTAGGCATCTGACGTCAGCTCAGGTCACGATCTCACACTCTGAGTTCGAGCCCCGCATCGGGCTCTGTGCTGACAGCTGGGAGCCTGGAGCTGTTTCAGATTCTGTGTCTCTCCCTCTCTCTCTGCCCCTCCCCCTCAAAAATAAATAAAGATTTTTAAAAATGCCACTATAGTCCCAACCTGGAAAGATTTCCTGGAATCCCAGCCCACAGGGGGAGCCGTGCTCCAAGCCGAGGTCCCGCGAGCAGTGGTGGCCGCCTGTGCTCCTTCACCTCCACTCATGTGGAGGCCTCATCACAAGGACATCAGAAAACAGTGTCAGCACCAGGAAACGGACGAGAATGTGCTGCAAGTGGCAACACCCCAGGCCACAAGTGGGTGACAGCAGGGTGACACCTGTCCCCAGGTGACCTCCAGAGCACGGTGCTCTGCCCACATGCGCAGGGCTCCGTGACTCCCCCTTGTTCGGTGGGCTCCCTGAAGGGCAAAGTGAGTCTCAGAGCCACGCTGTTTTCTCATGGAAACACTGAATAGATGACTGAGTTATACTACAACACCTGTCTCCTCCAGCAGAGAAAGTTTTTGAGGACAGGGATCTTACTATACCAATTAGTACCTTTGTCTTAACTCCCAGCCTGTGATAGACACTCAAGGAAGCGTGGACCTCAGTCATGTGACCTGCTGGCTTGACTATCTGCTTCTTTATGAAATCACTTCACTGGGTTTTACACACCCATGTGCTGAGTGCTCGCCTTGCCCACGCCCTCGACCATGACCCAGTGTTACAGGGAGCACAGTAGAGCCCTCCAACAAAGACCTAGAGCTGGAGCATGAGCATGATCGCTGGCATTTCCCACACAGCCACATAGCAAAATATGGTGCCTGGGTCCCCAGGCCCGTGTGAGCCCCCCACACGTGGGCGGGACAAGTGGTCCGAGAGGTTGATGAGGAATTGCGTCTGTTTCTTCAACAAAGATGATAGCACATCCTAGAATCTGATACTTAGTTTCCGCGACCTGTTGAGTTTCCAAATGGTATTGCCCATGAAAAGCAGGCAGGCAGAGTAAGCCTTGGTTTGCGAGCATAATTCGTTCCGGAAGCAGGCTTGTAATCCAAAGCACTCGTGTATTGAAGCAAATTTCAAGAACCATTGGTTCAGTTGTGATCATGTGACACTTGATGTCACGTGCTGCTCATATTGCAAGATGTCGCTTATTTATCAAGTTAAAATGTACTAGAAATGTTTGCTCGCCTTGCGGAACCCTAGCAGAGCAAGTTCCTCACAGTCCAAGTTTTACTGGACTTTGTTTCAATGAGTCACAACAAGCTTATATACGGAGGCCACATAGATGATAAAATTCTGAGAATTTCTGAATAATTCTGAGATAAATGCTAATGCATCATTGTTACACATAATTTGTCTACTTCCCAAAATATTTTAGGGAGCTTACAATTGCAAAATATATATGCACATGAAATTTTTTTAAAGCATTTAAGAAAGAAGGCAGGTAACTAAAAAATGTAAAATGAGTAAATAAATATACAAGCGGTCAGTGGCTGGATACATAACATAACTGAATTCTGAATTTGAGCTTCCTAGCAGTCAAGTCAAAAAGTGAAATCTAGGGGCGCCTGGGTGGCTCAGTTGGTTAAGCGTCCGACTCCAGCTCAGGTCATGATCTCACAGTTCATGGGTTCAAGCTCCACGTGGGGCCCTGTGCTGACAGCTCAGAGCCTGGAGCCTGTCTTCTTCAGATTCTATGTCTCCCTCTCTCTCTGACCCTCCCCTTCTCATGCTGTCTCTACCTCTCTCTCAAAAATAAATAAAATATTAAAAAAAAAATTTTTTTTTAAAGTGAAATCTATTATTTTCTAAGGACATTAAAGTTGTCAAAAAAAGGCAAACGTTTTTTCCAATGTCAAGTTCTACACTTAATTTATGAAGCAAATACTAACACAAAAGACACTGATTAACATCATTAAGTCTTCAACAACATTTTTTAAAACATAAGGAAATGTTGATTACTTGAGCATCTCCTGTAAGATAAAATCAAAAGCCAGGGTGCCTGGGTGGCTCTGTCAGTTAAGCAGCTGACTTGTGATTTTGGCTCACGTCGTGATCTCACAGTTGGTGAAATCAAGCCTCACTGTGGACTCAGTGCTGACAGCACAGAGCATTGGGGGCTCTCTCTCCCTCTCTCTCCCTCTCTCTCTCTCTCTGCTCTTCCCTGCTCTTGCTCCCTTTCTCTCTCAAAATAAATAAATAAATAAAATCAAAAACCTAATTTCATTTTTTTTATAAATTCCAAACCTAATACATTATTGTAAAATATTTTTTTTATTTTATTTTGAGAAACAGAGAGCAAGAGAGAGCACGAGTATGCTGGGGAGAGGGGCAGAGGGGAGATAAGGATAATTTTAAGCAGGTTTCACACTCAGCACGGAGCCCAAAGTAGGGCTGGATCCCCCGACCCTGGACCATGGCCTGAGCCGAATTCAAGAGTCCAACGCTCAACAAACGGAGCCACCCAGATGCCCCATAAAAGATTTCTATCTTGTATAACGAATGGGAAGTGGTTCTTTTCTAAGACAGGATTTTGTTTTGTCTCATTAAATGTATTGCCATGATTCTTTGCTTCTCGGTGAGCCTAGAAATTAGAAGAAGGGGTGTTGCCAAACCCTTCAACCTGTCTCTCTCAAGATTCAACTGCCGGCTCAGGGCTTCTGCAAGTCCTAAGTGGGAGTCATTCCAGATACGCCCGGCGTGGCCCCATGTAACGGAGCCCCTGTCTGCACCGTCTGGTACCACTGCCACCAGCCATGGGTGGCTCTGGATCACTTGAAATGTGTCCAGCACAACGAAGGAACTAAAAGCCATTGAATTATTCTCTTTAAAATGTTTAAAATGGCAAATTTTAGGTGTATGTGTATGTTTTACCCACAATAAAGAACAAGCTGCAGAAAGGTTACAGAAAGGGGGTCTGAAAAGGAAGACAAGTTTGTGTTTGGGATTTTGCCAAATCTGGCACGGTTTTGATAGGTTTATCAGAAGATTTTCAAAAGAGAGCTTGTGGTTCCTCAAGAGTCCATTTTATTATAGTGGTGCGGGCCGAGAGTTTAGTTTCCTCTCTGTGAAAATCACCACATTTCTGAAACAGAGTTCGTAAATCTTTTTAAGGGAAGTCTGTCCAAATCACAGGTATCCTGTCTTACCAGAGGGACTTCTATGCTGTATCTTTGACTTCAGCAAGCCCTTGAATATTCTCCTTAAAATAGAATAAGTAACAAATGGAAAATACACATAAAAATATACATTAAACCTAATTTACGATCCCGACCAAAGATTCAGCTCACCTTCCGCACAGAAACACATGCATATAAGTATAGAGCCAGAGTTGGGTGGACAGAGAAACCTAAAAGATCTCAGATAACCAAACCCTTTGGTAAAAATATAAGGTAAAATCTGGACCTTCCTTCTGGTATTGCTTTGAACCAAGTGTTCTAGGTATAGAACAAATTTGCGTTTGGCACTTTCCGAAGCTATTTCTTTTGGAGTCAAGCCGACCAACACACTGCATCGATCTCCTGCGGACAGAAAGACTAAAGAGCTTGACTTCACGCTGCCACAAAGTCTTCATGCATCTTTCACTCGTTCATACGTCGTGTGCCCAGACACTGCACTTGGCAATGGCAAGATAGTAATTTTTTTTGAAATATTGCCTTATTTCTTTTTTTTTCTGCTAATTCCTTTCTGTGCTTTGTTCTTACTCCCATTCAAGCACCTACATGCTCTGTGTCGATTGCCTCTTGGGGGAAGTAATTTGCAGAGGAGGAAGGAACGAACCTGTGAGTGTCTGCTAGCTCCTGTGTCCCAGACCTGTAGTCCCTCGGAGGAACGAACCAGCAAAGCCAAGACACTGGGAGGTTTTCAGGATAGGTAGGTGGCCTGTGTTCCCCGCCGTCCACCCCAACACATCCTCAGATTAGGGAAGAGCCTCGTGGCCTGCAGAGAGAGAGGGGGAAGACAGGCAGGGAAGGGAAGAGGAGATAGCTCAGGGTCAGGCATGTTCCCGGGAGGAACGTCCCCAGAGCCCGGGATGGAGGGCCGGGCACGAGGGGAGGGGCCGCCTATGGGTGCAGCTCCGCCACCTTGGTCAGCAAGCCCACGACTGGTCTCCGGATATTTCCATCCTCTGGTGTGTGGCAAAGGCAAAGCATCGAGTGCCATGGAAGCAGAAGGAGAGCCAGCATGGGGCTCGCGCTGAGAGAGACACCTCCAAGCTCGCGAGCAGATCCGCGTGAGCATCGGATGGGACAATGGCCAGCACAGCCTCTCCGCACTGGGCAGCTGGCCATACACAGAGGACGGTGAGGCCCACAGGCTTTCCTCGGCCCCCCAGCAATGCAGGGGAGGAAGAGGATGGGGCATTTGAGGGGTTCCACAGCTCTTATTCGTTTCTGCGACTCTCAGAGAAAGGGTGGCTGGAATCAGGTATTAAATCAGGTCACCAAAAACTAAAGATCTTTCCACTTCTTACATGAGAGTTTGGAAACCAAGAGCTGTCCCTCCTATAAATGACATTCAACAGTATGAGAGCTGGCGTCAACTCACTGTCACGAATGAGCTTTACCTTTGCATCTCCGGACACAACGATCCCCAGATTAAAGTCCGCCTTGGCTGACAGCGCCGGTGCTCCCGGACCGGAATGTCCTGTTCCACGCGGTTTAACCTCCCAGACTGACAGCTGCTTATTTGTTACTTGTGTCGACTGTGGGGGAGTCACCAGGGCAGGAAGTGCCGACACGGAGGCCAGGGGTCACACCTGCATCAGAGCGCTGGCTTCCCTCAGAGGCCTGCTTTCTTCCTCTGTAGTGATCGCTTCCCCCTCACAAACGGTTTTATTAATAGTTACCTCTGGGACCTAACTGGGGAATTAAACAGTGTCACCGAGGCATCTCTGGGGAAGGACAGCTTCCCCAAGATCTCCTTTCCAAGCCAAGAATTCTTGGAGCCAGAAAGGGCAGTTCTTTCTCTCCTCCAAAGGCACCACCATGTTCCAGCTGGGAGGCAGAACCTTCCGGAAGATGCGCTGCTCCCCCCGCCCCCGCCACGGATGGCGAGGCCACCCCAGGTAGGGATTGGAAACTCCAGACCAGTGCGATCTTTTACTCTGTGCACCGAGAACCTCTCGCCCTCCCGTCTGGAAGCAGCACACGGGGTTTTCCCAGAGCCCTGGGGGTGGCGGAGGACAAGGTCATAGACGTCTCCAGATGAGTCACCGCCGAAAACCAACTCAGAGCAATCCGTCCTCACCGGTGCGTTCTTGAGGAAATGTCTCCGACAGGCCACGAAGCCGGAGCGTTTGGACGGATGCGGTTGCCTCTGTGTGCTTGTTGGCTGCTGCCCTTAGAGGATGGTTATCTGCAGGAACGCACGCAGGTGAAGACTCGCTTCCTTGGCCAGCCCCATGGGCGACGCACGAGGGGCCTTCCAGACGCGCCCAGGGCTCGCGGGGGGCCGGGGGGCCGCTCTCCCAGACCCGCACCCCAGCCCCGCCTCAGTACCCCCTGCCGCGCGGTGACCTGGCAGCTGAACACCTTCTCGGGTGGCCGCCCGTGTCCGGCACTCGCGGTTGCCCGGCGCCGGTAGCTCGGGCGCTCCGTGCAGAGACCCCTCCTTGTTCCTTCACGAACTCTGTTCCAACCACGTCGGCCAGCACGCTCTCCTGTCGCACACACAGGTGGCCCGGGGCCGACAAACGCCTTCCCTGTGGCTCCCCTGGGATGCCTTGTGGCCGGAGCCAAGCAGCGTACGGCCGACGGGCCTTGGTGTCCTCGAGCGCGCATGCTCTCCAAGGCCTGTCTCCTCTCCGAAGCTGTGGGTCCCGCCGCAGTGCCTCTGCTCGTGCGTCTTCCCCCCCTGAATGCCCCTGCCCGTTGCTCTGCCTCAGCTCCCTCACCTATGAAATGGGTATCATAGTGACACCTTCCTTGGAAAATGACAGGGCTCAAGTGAAACTATTCATACTGAGCATTCAGAACAGTGCCTGGATCATAGTGGGCTCTCAATCAATAATAGCTTTTTTTAAATGTTTATTTATTTTTGAAAGAGAGAGGGAGAGAGATGGGGGAGGGGAAGAGAGAGAGATGCAGAATTCGAAGCAGGCTCCAGGCTCTGAGCTGTCAGCACAAAGCCTTACACGGGGCTCGAACCCACGAACCATGAGATCATGAGCTGAGTGAAAGTCGGACACTTAACCAACTGAGCCACCCAGGTGCCCCTTTGATAGCATTATTGTTATATTATTAGTATTATTCTCTCATTCTTCCTTCCTTCAAACACCAGCCCACATCCACCACCTGCGGGAAGCCCTCCATGACACAGTCATCTATGGTCATCTCCCCTGAGGCACAAACAGACACACTCTTCAATACCACTGGTGGCATTTGCACGTGTGACTTGGGACGAAGTCCCTGTAACCGGACTGCCGAGGGCACCACACGCCGCCTCCCCTTGTCAGAGCACGGCATCCTCTGGGGTGCTCTGTGTGCTGCTGAGTGGCCGAATCACACACACCAGAAGCCCCAGAGGGAGTGCCTGGCAGCCCAGCCTGCCCAGAACAGGGCATGTGAGTTAGCCAGCTCTGGAGGTCAAACAGGCATTGATGCGCCCATTCCCCGGATCGCTGTCTACGCAGGAGATCTGAGGCGGGGTCCTCTCGGCCGCCTGGTCCACCCGGAGGCGAGCTGACCATTTACATCCTGCACGATGGTCAAGTTTACCCTCTCTGGTCGGAGAATGCTGCCATGTTGGCCAGGAACGACACCTCGGCACACGATGTGCCTGAACGTGAGGAGGAGGGAGAGAGTCCAGGGAGCGGGCGGTGGTAGCTTGTCCCATTCCATATGCCTGGGTCACAACGGAAACATCGCTCGTGAAAGGGTTACGTCAGTCTCCAAAGACACCGCTGCCAGGAAGGCCGCACCCCAGCGCGTCAGTAGGTCAAACACCCGTGTCACTGGAAGTCTCCCCAGGGGCTTCTAACAGCTGAGCCCACAGCTCTTCGTCAGTACAAGTTGTGCAAGAGCAGATGGCTCCTGCGTCCCTTGACCTCACCCCTGCTTCAGCAGGAAAGCATCCGGGAGTTGCCTGCAAAGCTGAGGACACCATGGAAGGCGCCTTCTGCACCCTGGGGTGTCCATGGAGCAAACCCGCTAAGAGGGTGAGGGTGGGCAGCACGTAGACAGCTCCGGGGTCACCGCGGGACAAAGGCCACTTTATGTGTGACTTCATTTGGGGAGGGTCAGATCTTTCCAGATTATCGAGGTGCTATGTTATAGTGATCATAGGAATTTGGAAGCATTAATATTTTAAAATAGAAAGAAGGGCGCATGAGTGGCTTAGTCAGTTAGGCATCCCATGCTTGATTTCCATGCAGGTCATGATCTTGGGATTCTCTTGGGAAAATCCTGCTTGGGATTCTCTCTCTCTCTGTCCCTCTCCCACTCATTCTATCCCTCTCTCTCAGAAACAAATAAGTATTTAAAAATGAATAATAAATAAAATAAAATAAAATAATACAATAGAAGGAAATGGCAGTCCCAGTCATGATACAGCATCACAATAGGTGGCTAATTGCAGTAATAACCCATTGTACTTGGGACAAAAAGATGCTTTTAAACTACAGCGAAGGATCTTCTGAAGCCACGTCAGGGAAAATAGTATAAAGCTCGCATGCGACTTTCCAGGGAGAAGAGCCTTTGGTCCTAGAACAAAAGTAATTTTATGCTAAAACAACTCGTGCGGGTTCTTCCTAACCACCAGAGCTGACCAGGACCTTCTAGAATAGCCAACATAGATATTCTGAAGACAGAAGGTTCTCACTGGTCCTGGAAGATTAAGTCCTCGACAGCAAGATCAATGACCTGCAAAGGAGCCCCTAAATCAGGGTCCCTCAACCTTGGCACTGCTGACACTTGGGGGGGATAATTCTCAGTTTTGGGGCTTGTCCCCACTAGGTACGAGCAGCACCCCCTGGTTATGACAATCGAGCGTCCATCATGATCGCCAAGTGCCCTTGGGGTAGGGGTGGGGGGCAAAATGTGCCCTCTGTCAGGAACCCTTGCCCTAAATGAACAGGAAGGTCTCCTCCGTTTGTGACCTCGTTGTGATAGTCTACCCCTGTCCCCTGACTGTCCCCTGATGAAGCGGGCCAGCACATTTTACCACGATGACACTGCAGCTCCAGGGATGGAAAGGATAATCCCTTATGCTCCTCCAAGAGATTTTCCAATGGGAGAGCTTCTGAGTGGACCAGGCGATCCCGTGGTTCCAGGGTTCCTCATGTTTCATGCATGGGACGTGGCCCGGGGGCGCCCCTCCTGCCGTATGACTAACTGTCTCGGCCTTCCCAGGGAACAAATCCTCTGGCTTTCGAAGGACACCCAGACAGGTTGCTTGATGATCATTGGGACATTGTGGCACTGATTTTTAAAATGAAACACACATAAATATCCTGAGCCTGGGGGTTATTTCTCTCTAATCTTGATGGCCTCTCTCATCTTAAAATAATTTACAGGAATCCTGCAATGATCGTGGGCCCAGGGTTGCTTCCCCTGCGTGGCCATTCAGAGATACTTATCAGATGCCCAAACAAGGCCCATAAATCGCTCACTTCCCTGGTCGGCTCGTACCGTTCTGAGTCCCATGTGGTCCATCAAAGGGTCACTTGGTGAGAGGCCAAGCCGCCAGACGTCTTCCCTCATTGCTTTTTTAATTTCCTCTCTTCCTTCCTTTATTCGCAGAGATACTACATCTTTAAATAAAAGACCATGTACAACTTAACAGGGAATTTCATTTTAAATAAAATGTTCTTGAATTTAAAGAAGAAGAAAAAGAGGCAAAGGCGAGGGAGGAGGAGAGAAGAAAAGCCTTTCTTGACAAGTTGCCTAGAGCTCTTGGCCCGGGGCCCTGGCCCGCGTCCCGCCGCCCGCTCGGTCCACACCATCCGTTACTTTCAGACAACTAGTCAATGGCAGCAAAGCCAAACAAAAAGGGACCAGGCCCAGTGACTGTTTTCTGAGGCCTTGCTCTTTACGGGAGATGGGTGACACTTGCCTCCGCTTACAGCTGTCTCTGCTCGGTGGCCGCTTCTCTCATGGACGAGCCGCCTTTTGCGCCAGGCTCTCCTCACGCAGGTGGCCAATGTCACATCTCCGGGGTGTCCCCCTCTCCTCTTCATAAGGGGCTCCTCCCAGCCTGGGGCCACTCAAGACCCAGAGCGTGTGCTTCTTTTCCCCATTAACACTGAGCCCCATTGGTTCAGCCGGACAGACCACAAGCTCTACATTTGGTCTCCTTTTTTTATTATTTATGAAAAATCATGCGTCTCATGACTTAATATGAAAGCAACCTGCAAAACGAGTTGTTTTCCTGTTTTGATAGACGTTTCTGCAACAGAGACTCTCCTGGTCCATCTCACGTCTGTGTTCTTTGAGGTTGTGAACTGAATAGATGATAAATCCGTGAATGGCTGCCTAGAAGAGGGCCCTCCATTCTACAAGAGACTCAGTCCCCACGATGGCTTTGCTTCGTCTGCATTTGAGGGCATCTTCCCTGAGGACAAGCACTTGCATGAAGCCCTTTATCCTTGGTCATGACGTTATTGTTGCACTGTCCCTTAAATTGGGATGCGGGTGCAATTTCTTACTTGACACATCCCCAAAGGCAAGGGAATCAAGAGCAAAAATGAACTATTGGGACCTCCTCAAGATAAAAAGCTTCTGCACGGCAAAGGAAACAATCAATAAGACTAATAGGCAACTGATGGAATGCGAAAAGATAGTTGCAAATGACATATCAGACAAAAGTCTAGTATCCAAAATCTATAAGGAACTCACCAACTCCACACCCGAAAAACAAACAATCCAGTGAAGAAATGGGCAGAAGACATGAACACACACTTCTCCAAAGAGGACATCCAGATGCCAACAGACATATGAAATGATGCTCAGCATCCTTCCTCATCAGGGAAATGCAGATCAAAACCACACTGAGATACTACCACACACCAGTCAGAGTGGCTAAAATGAACAAATCAGGAGATTCTAGATGCTGGCGAGGATGTGGAGAAATGGGCACCCTCCTACACTGTTGGTGGGAATGTAAACTGGTGCAGCCCCTCTGGAAAACAGTGTGTAGGTTCCTCAAAAAATCAACACTAGAACTCCCCTAGGACCCAGCAATAGCACTGCTAGGAGTTTACCCAGTGGATACAGGAGTGCTGACACATAGGGACACATGTATCCCAATGTTCATAGCAGC